TAAGACCCCCCCCCTTCCATTAACTTTCCCCTTCATTACCCCCCCAGACAGTCTGACCCCCCCCCCCCCCCCCCCCCCTGGAGGTTTTCCAGCTCTCCTCTACCTATAATAATTATCACACAGTCTAATGCACTGATGTTAACACTACCTGTAGTACTTGGTCAAGGGGGATCCCCCTCCCCTCACTGCCCACCTTTACCTGTAATAATTATCACACAGTCTAGTGCACTGATGTTAACATTACCTGGCCACAGAGACTGGGGACCTCCTGTAGTGCAGCAGTAAGGTGATAATAATGGAGTCAATGGTCTTATGAAAGAGGAAGTTTTCCCCCATTCACCCACACTTAAATTAGCTGTCCCTATTGGCCTTGGTGACATATAAGATACAAGGCACTTATACCACACAGCCAGTTAATGAGAGTAACACAACCAGTTCATGAGAGTACTGTTGGAGCTACAGGAGAGCCACTGGCAGAGAACAGACATCAGTGTGAGAATGGAGGACTAAACAGTATTTTTGTCAAAGAAACCCTAACCAAATTGGTGTATTTATCCACTAGGAACTGTAAATATCACCTTACAAGAATAGGATTACTTAATTAATTTTAACAAAAAACTATTGCAGAAGTCAGTGGTTTTATCCACATATATCATCTTATTACAAGAGAGCAAATCAAGTGGGAAGTGAAGAAGGAGTCTGGCAGTCCATATCCCCATGGCATCTCTAGTGGACCAGGCCACACGTCACCAGTCTACAGGACTCCAGACCAGAGATGGGAAACTTCTACAGCTCAGTGCTCATCCCATGTTCTCAGAGCTTCAGGCCACCCTGGCCACCCAGTGCCAGCAGGCAGCCGTCCCTTACTCCCTGGTCAGTCCAGAGAAAATGACCAGTGGTCAACAGGAGGGTCAGCCCACACCAGTCCTGGAAGCCGTCTTGCACTCTGAGTTCCGCAAACTGGCCAGTTTACAGAACGAGAAAGTCGCGCAGCTGGAGTCATTCTTCAACACGCAGTGTGCCGTGATTGAGACCCAGCGCAGCGACGCCATTGCCGACCTGGCTGGTACCATGGACAGGAGCAGCTTTGAACACCAGCTGAAACTTATTCATAAATTCCACGACCAGCAGAGAGTCCATCTCACTCTCAGAGTCAGTGCCAGTTTAAACCTGCTCAAAGACTCCCTCCCTGAGGACCCAGAGCTCTGCACGACCAAAAAAACCAAGAACAGACTTTTAAATCCTAAAGCTGTAGAAATCATGCAAAACTGGTATGACATGCACTGTGAGAATCCTTACCCCACAGAGGAGGAGAAGAGAGACTTGGCTGAGCAGGGTGGGATATCTCTGGGGCAAGTTAAAGCTTGGTTTGCCAACAAACGGAACAGAAACTGTAACACAAAGCCCAAACACCATCGCAGAAAGGCTGCAGAGGATTTTCCAAAAATCTATTCCAGACAAAACTCCACAGAGGTAAATACCTCCAGTAAACCTTGTGACAGGAAAGTACTGAATGCTTGGGAGAATAATATTTCTGATCATAAAAACTTTGATAATAACAGATCTCATAAAATCCACTCAGATTTTAGTCAACAGGAATATAACGACATGATTAAAGAACTCGGTGAACTGGTACAAACTACTACAACAATATCACAGAAAGATCTGATATTGACTTCTGATTTTGACTTCTAAAAATTGACTGTGAATGTGCTCAAAGCTGTAAGTTACACGTCATAGAAAAGATGTAATCATAATATACAGGGAGTTATTACTTTCAAATTCCTGACAGCACTGTTACTGCAATATATTGTTAAGTTATGTTTTGATAAAATAACATTTGACAGTGTGACAAATATTGTAACATCACTTAGACAAACCAAACCCATGTTAGACATTCAGCTTAAATGACCACAAAATATATTAAACCCAAAGTTTATTTATTAGTTGAGCTAACGGACTAGAACAATGCTTTCCCTTTTGTCAAATAATAAAAAATATTTAAAAGATATTTTTAAAAATCTTGTTTCTTTTTAGGGCTATCTTGTGTTATAAATTTTTATTTTAGATTTCTACTCACGTCGAATCAATGGTTTATAAATTCTTAATTCTTGTAAATAGTACATTTGAGAAATGTATGTAGACCCTAGTTTAAGATACAAAAGTTAAAATTGAATATCTGGAAATGCCAAAAAAAAATCTTTTAAAGATAGTACTGACCAAAGGCAAGTTTATCTGTGGTAGAATAGCTTTCATTGGCTGATAAAGGGTACTAAGTTTACCTGTGGTAGAATGGCTTTCATTGGCTGCACCATCTTCCTGTAGTTTGGGAGATTGCTGTAGGTCTGGACTAGACAGTCTGGCAGTGGGACGCGATGCTGTCAGTCTCTCTACAGCAGTAATAAACATTAGCAATTATATAAGATAAATTAAGAAAGTGTGAAGTTTAAGCAGGAAAATTTTGAACAGGTACCTTAATGTATAGAATAACAAAAAGATCATGTTTGACTATATTTTCTTTGGGAAAATCAATTCCACCTCATTACAAATTAAGATACAAGATGAACTTTAAGACAAATTGTCTAATTAATTTGAAAAGGTAGGCTTAAATACAATGATCTCAAAAATTGCTGCTTGAAATAAAAAATAATAGGAATGTGGCAAAAGTAAAAAAAAAAAATCTCACCAACTTCCTCAAAAAATTTACAATGAGTTAAAAGTAAGAGCATCGTCCCACCTTGAGCGGAGGACCCTGTTGCACTGCCACTGCTGCTTCCCCCTGGTGGCAAGGACACTCCCAACTCCGCCAGCTCAGAGTGGAAGCGATCTTTGGCACTGCTGACCCGACTAGAATGAGCTGGTCTTCTCTGACCGCTGTCTTTAGACTTGTGCTTCCTGCTACTGGACACCCGCTCCAGGTAAGACTTGACCCTCTCTATCCACTGCTCAGTTTGCTGGTGAAGGTCTGGAACACACCATAGAGATTTATTATTATTACTATTAATTTGATTTTACTTGATAATTATTTTAATGTAATTAATTTATTGATCTTTTATTCATATAAATATTTAATTCTAAACCCTCAGAGGGCCATGTGTAAGATAAGTGTATACACGTTTTACCCTCGTTAAATGAAGTTTATTATTATTATTGTATAGTGTACATGCTGAGGTAACTGATCATTATGGTAATGACTAATCATTTCATTGGGAAAAACTGTGAATTTCACAGGAACTGTATTTATTTTAAGTCATAATTTTCTTAAAATGAGTTTGAGTGGTAGCAATAAACTGAAAAGCAGGCTACCTTATAGTTTTCTTCTATACAGAAATTGTTATTGCACCACAAATGCAGCTGTGAATTATATTTTTTATGATTCTAAAATCATGTATCTGAAAAACTGAAATTTTCTCTCCACAGAAAAGATCCGAGACATAACTGTCAGGCAATACTTTGAAAATATCATAGAAAAATAAAATAAATTAATTATCAAATAAACGCTGAAACATACAGGTTATGTATGGTGACACAAATACCAAAACAAATCCATTTCTTTAAACACCATTGATTGAAATGGCGGCAAATTGTTTTATAAAGAACAATCGACCCCATGAAACAAAAAGACAAAAACACACCCACATTCAGGCACTCAAACACTGTATGCTATACAATTGCTATGGACTGTCTTACCAGATGCAGGAAACTGTCTGTCACCTGTCGGCACAGCAGGCTCAGCAGCAGTAGCAGTAGCAGCAGTAGCAGCAGTAGCAGTAGCAGTAGCAGTAGTAGCAGCACTGGTAGGGGCAGGAGCAGTAGCATTCAAGGTGGTGTTGGAGGTGTATCTCTTGGGTTTTGGGAAGGTGACCCTCCTCTCTTCTGACCCCCTGTCCTGCAGGTCTAATAGCTGTAACAGCACCAGCTCATCATCATCTCCTTCTCTGGAAGTGACAACATGAACAGTTATACCAAATATAGCATTCTCTTCCACACTTATATCAAATACACCTCTCTTTTTTAAATACACTTCCCTCCTCCTTTGGCGCCACATCCTACAGGCATGAATGCCCTCTATCCTCTGGCATTTTGATGTCAGTTGGTGGACTCCTGCGACCCCCCCTTTCTTTCTAGGTCTCCCACTGAGGTGATGTACTAATAAAGATGGTATTATTTACCTATTCCTGGCAGAGTCTCCCCCACCCAAGGCAGCCGTCTCCTGGCTCTCCCACTGCCGGCTGTTCTCAACATCATTGTCAAGAGACCTGGAAGTATAGCATAGTTATAAAAATATACACAATATTTCTAAACTTCAAATCTTAATGCTTTATGTTTAATTTTGTCTTGAGAAATACATAACAGGTGATAAATCAATTTATTCTGATATCATTTTTCACACAATTGCTTTTTATTTTTCACTTGGTGAAGTGGACTCCTCCTTATGTTTAAGAAGGATTGTATAACAAGGATTGTGTTAATCTTACATGGTTTCTTCATCAATGTCGTTTTCATCATTGCTGATTTCTGCGCTCTCTTCAAGAATTTGTTCTTCAAGCTCTTCATTGGTCTCATCATGGTCATGGAGAACTTCACTCAAATTCTGGAAATATACAACCACCTCTAACCCTGTACTGATTTTACATAGTGATAAGAAATGAACTTAAATTATCTCCACGTACAGTGCAACTAAATAAAAGAAAACATATTTTCATAAAGCAGTTATGCAAAATCTTAATGTAATGCAGTATGTAATGATTTGTTTGAAGTCTGAATATAATCCAAAAAGAGTGCAAAAACAACTCGTATGTTTGCATAGCCCTACCCACTTTTTAACAATTGTCAACCTGACAAACAAAAAGAACAAGAAAGCTCTTAGTTTGTATCACTGAATTACTCTTGTTATATTCTACATACTTACTGCAACGGTCATTGTAAAATTTACTTGTAACTAAATGAATTAAAAAACAATACTAATAAAATTACAAAAGTACTAAAGCCTTTACCTCAGTAGAAGCAGAGCTGCTACTGCTGTCATCGTCATGGTTCTCCTCCTCCATCTGCATGTCCAGCTCCATACTGACCGCTGCCCTCACTGGCTTGGGGTACAATATGGGGGGCTTGCCACCACTACTGCCACCACTGGTATTACTGGCCACACCACCAGGGGGAGCCTCAGGGCGGGCTGCAGTCTGATTGTCTGGAGAATGGAACATAATCTGATACAGAACAGATACTGGTTTAGAATCTATGTGGACTCACTGAATGGGAATTAAGCACCATAATGAAGGAGGACCAATGCCTTTCTTAAAACATCTGCTGATACTCACCAGTTTGTGAAAATTTACCTCCACTGCATCCTCCACAAAAATAGGAAACTTTTCAACCTTCAGATAAAAATCCAACCTACCTGGTGATGGACATTTCTGGTGGGAAGTCTGGTGGCGAGACAGTTCAATAGCTAGGCGCTGAAATAATAAATAAACAAATAAATAAATATGTATATATATATAAATGTGGTGATGAGACAGTTCAATAGCTAGGCGCTGAAATAATAAATAAACAAATAAACAAATATATAAATGTGGTAGAGTCATTAGCAAAGGGCTAGAAATTATGTAAACGTTTCTGACCAAAAAAAAAAAAAAAAAAAAACTTAAGTCTGAAGCTGTTGCCACCAACCATGATAACTGATTTTTCTGCAGTTACTTCACAGAATGTAAGGTCTGAATCAATTCCGAAGACATTAAGACAACTCTATCTAAGATCACTAGCAAATTAATGACTTGCACAAACTGTGTTTGGGTATCTGGGATAGTTAACAGGTTACCTACCTCTTTCAGGTCATTGACCTGCCCTATAAACTGTGTTTGGGCCGACTCTAGCTGGTTGATATACCTGGAAAGTAGAAATAATGAAGATTATAAAACATTCAATTGTTACTATATAAAATCAATATCTGTCCCCTGTTTCACACAGAATCTTAAATCCCTTGTTGACTAAGCTGAGCTAAGTTAAATTTTTGTCCACTTATTGTAAACTGTTGTGATTATGTGAACTAGAATCATCAGTTAAAACCCTAGTCTATTATATTTAATGAATAAAAGTATCCAGAAAAGTTCACCTGCCCCCTCCCCTGCCCTCAGTCCCAAGGGACTATAGCTCCTTCCCACTCCCCTTCCTCCCCCCCATCTCAATCTCTCCTCACCACTGCTGGTCCCTGCATTTCTGGTAATAGGTTGGAGGACGGACCTGGAACCTCAAGATAAGGGTGTCCGTCTCTGTGTTCAGGTACCCCTCACTGGCCAGGAGGTCCAGGCGAAAGAACCGGTTATATCCCCAGCACTCGCCAACCTCAAAGTCCGAGGCAAACTCACGGACGATGTTTTTGGTGAGATCTCGTGATGCCTGGTGGACCATCTCTACTCTGTACTCATACCTGCAGGCAAAAATCAAAGCGTTTCAAGTATTCTAATTATATTCTTACTGTTATACCAGAGAAAAATCAGAGACAATTACCTACAATTACCTACCTTCAAAATCTTTGAAAGTAAGCAAAGAGATGCATTTTGTATTCTAAATGTTTGAATGTCCTATTACCATCTAATATCAATCACAATCAGATGAAAATCCTATCACAATGTTATTCCTATGATTATAACAATTACTCACTTAGAAGTCTCAGGCAGTCCAGCAGACAGTTCCAGGAATACAGACAGGTAGTTTCCTCTCACAACACCATTGCCATCCTGAACAAATATAATATTTAATAAAAACAACATGAATTCCAGGCAATGATATTATATAGCAGCTTATTTGATAAGAAATAACACATTTTTATTTAGACCTGTTAGGGCCCACCACAATAAGTAACCATAAGTAGGTTAGTAAGTAATACTATTTAATAAATAAACTGATATCATGTATGACATACAGGGTAAACTATGACACTCCAGCTAATTTGACAGGAACTAACAGATTTATTTTATTAAATAAAAACAACATGGAGGCAAGACAATTATTTCATATTTAATATATTACCTACAGGGTAGACTTTGACTATCCAGTTTATTTGATATACACTAGCACACATGTATTTGATAAATAAACTGATATAATATATAACCTACAGGGTACACTTTGAGTCTCCAGCTGAGTCCAGAGACATGGAGTGGCTGGCTGTAGACTGGGTCTGCCCTCTGCTGGAGACCAGTGAAGTTAGTCATCACAAAGGTACTGCTGTCATATGCTGGCACTATCTCACTGGAAATAGCACAAAGACTATGTGTTCAGGAATTGCTTTAACTCAAAACATTCAAAACATTTTCTTTTATGGGCCCTTTCAGTTTAACATTAAATTTTAAAAATTTGTATTGATTCTTCTAAAAATTAAGAAATTAAAAAATCCCAATTTTTAGTTCTCAATAAAAAAGATATAAAAGAGATAAGGTCAAAATGCAATTATAAAGTATTTCTCTTGGAAAATACTATGTAAAATATCAAATAGAAATTTTTTTTTTTTTTAAATTTACCTGTTAAAGTCAGCGGGTACAGGGGCAGTGACAAAGGAGGCCATGGGTCTCCTGTGGACCTGCTGGAACATCTGTAATACGTTGGAACTCTCCACGATCAACTCACTCTTACAACACAGGTGGAGCTGGTGTTCAATCTCCTGGATCACTGACTCCATCATCTCCGTCTCCTGGGTCAACTGGTTCCTCTGACCTGAAGATAACAACAGATCACATAGCAACAGTGTAACATAAATTTTATACATCAACTGAATGATTGTATTAATCATGTTCAGCAAATACAAAATATATAACAGTTTGGTGAATCGGTAGATAATGATCTATTTGCTTTTTTGTTAAATTGCTTCAAATATTAACTGCAGCATGAAAATGAATCAGATAAACATATTTTTCTTATGGAGATGTCTATCAAAAATTTTTACAATAATAAATCATTATCTTTTCCTATGTGTGTAACTTTGTCTTACCCATCAAAGTCAATAGTTTGCTCTTCAGCTGGGACTCCAGTCTGGCAATCATCAGCTCCACTGCATTGCGAATCTCACGCACTCTCTCGTCTTTGGCATTTTTTACACTCTCAACATTTCTCTCCTGTAAATAAAAAGTATGATAAGAAAATTGATATCTTTTAATTTCTTTTCAATCATCAGTTATTGTTAACCATACTTATGGGTTATCCAATTTTTATCATTATTTTCACTAGCCCTCAACCATACACTAAGGGCATGGGGGATGTTAATGCTCTCTGTGCATTTTTGAAACAATAAAAAAGATTACCCAAATACTGTAACTTTCAAAGGTCATCATCTAGCTTTTCACCTTTTACTTTCAAGGGGGGGTGGGGTGGGGTGGGGGAGGGGGTGGAAAAATACTTTTCTTTGAAAATGATGATAAAAAAGGATTACCCCATTATCAGTAATCTATTATAACAGATATCTCCCATTCAACTCTCACTTATTGCCGTCACCACATGTTATCAGAATGACACCAGTGTGAGCAAAGTTCTTACCACATCCTGCACCAGACTGATCAGTTCAATATGGCGTCTCTTCAGCTGGTTCATCTCCTCGCGGATCCTAGACACGTGTTCATCATAGATCTCATCCAGTGGCATGAAAGTGTGACCAGAATGCTGAAAATATACAATACAATACAGTGCAATATAAAGCAATGCAATACAACAGAATACAGTACAGTAACACTGCAATAACAGTACAATACTATAGGCAATAGTCAGTGGGATTTCTGGAGGTTCAAAAGAACTGCCCTTTGGTGGAAAAAGGTCTAAGTACCCAGAATTAAAATATAATCTAGGTTTCATGCCATTTCTGAAGTTGTATAAACTAAGGGGGTAACAAGGTGTACTTTTTCAGAAAAAGACCAGCGCCCCCTATTTGAGATTGTGAGCTACAGGCCCGAGTTTGATATGTCTAAGGGTACATACCGTACCGCCCCAGAGTGCGCACTGATGACAGATACATTTTGAGCAGGAACGGCAGAACACACTCAACTTCTCATGGTGCAGCTCGCATCTGGAATGGGAAGAGTTCACATAAGACTATTCTTACTGAGGTTCTTTCTGCTTTTAACTTCATGTGATATGTAAAAGTTGCTCAATTTTCTTATTACCTCAACTACAAAATAATGTGTTGGAGACTATTCCTAGATGTATAACAATAGATCAGGTGACCAGCCCATCCATGTCATTACCCAGCAAAACGTCTCAAGTTGGGGACGCAATCTCCTCAAGTTGCTTTAGAAAATTCCAGCATCAGAGTTCTACATATTTCTCATAAAGTGACAAGCTTGATAAATTTGGCGGTAAGCTGTCTAAAGACATACTTATCCTTGTCACTGTCCTCTGTCCTGCTGGGCAGTGTACACAGCTGGAGTGTGTCCAGTTGGTTGGTCACTTCCTCTGCCCACCGACAGTTGACCAACTCATGGAGGTGGAGGGAGGCCCTGAGACAATAATAAATGTGCTGGTTATTATATAAAATGTCATTCAACAGAAACCTACATACTACACCTGTGATGCATATAAATGTATACAATTACAGACTTCAGGTGAGTTCATCGTGGGGATATGTTCAATCTGGGATAATTGATCTACGCCAATAATCTATGCCAGCGTTAAAATAATTGGTGGATATGCAACAATAAATGACAAGTTATATAAGATTACAGTAAATGATAGGGGCCCCTACTTTATCATTCTTCTAGTATTTGTAGATACATAGCTAGTAAAGAACTAGTAACTTATAGTATATCTAACATAGTGCACACATTAAGGCCATAACACACAGATCCTGCTCTAGCCTACCTGCAGTGAGGACACTGTGATCTCTGTTCTGTCAGCCATCTCTGGAAAAAACAAATCACAAAATGGTTCAAATCATCAAATACCCACATGATTTTCTGTTATTTTACAATTGCAAATTTTAGAAATTTTATTAGATAATTAATCAAATATGGTATCTATGCTTGACCAATGCTCTTTTAACTTGGAGATAACCATCTGTCAATAAGCAATTTTTATAGAAAAAACTGATACTTCTTTAAATTGAAGCCACAAAACTCATGTAAATAAAACCAGAAGAAATATCATATCATATCATATTTATTTAAAAGTTACAAAGAAAGAAAGAAAGAAAGAAAGAAAGAAAGAAAGAAACGAGGACAGAAAGAAAGCAATGGAGATGCTTGACTGGATGGGAAATTCTATATCTGAACGAATACAGAAATAAGTTAAAGGATGACCACACTGTGTTCTTACCCTGATGCACATAAAGCAGCACAGCTTGGAGCAGTGAGGACAGAGACGGGCGTCCCGCAACTTCTCCATACAGATGAAACATCGGAACACCTCCGCCAGGCTCTAGAATCATGATATAAGATATGTATTCTTCATGAGAACTACAACACAGATAATACCACTACAGGAATCTAGTTGATTTTTTTAATCAATACACAGAAGATAAAAGAACAGCTCAGTCAGCTTTTGGAATGACTGTACAATGAAATGTCCATTCCCAGACATGCTGAAAGTGAAATGCTGAACTTCAAAATAAAACAATCATAGACCCCCTCCCCACACCTAGAGGGATCTAACAGGATCAACCCATCTCCAAGGGATTTCTTGCTTAATTGGATGTCTAGCACATCAGATCTAGAGATGGGTCTATCCTGCTAGATCATAGAAAAGATAAAGAATCAGTAACTGAACAGCATAACGAGAATATTTTAATAGCCCATATGTACACTGTTTTTTTTTAAGAACCATGATGATGCAGAGGTAATCACAAAAACCAATACTTTGCACTAATACTGAAGGCTATAAATCATTAATAAAATGAAGGTAATTAGCAACATGAAGTCAATTAGTTCAATCCTGAGGGAATGAGAATGATACAACTCTGGCGCATTTTTGGCATAAAGCATTGCTTTGCATTTCACATACTCTCACACGTCATAGATACAACTGTTCATGATAGCTTGGTGTGACTGATGTCTTTGTTTATGTATTTTTTTCTTATATTTCAATAATATGTTTATTCTTTTCCGCTGATGTAAAAGTTAAAATCTATTACTCGGTATAGTTCTAGTGTAATTAGATTCTAAAATCAAAAGTGATTGTGATAGTGATCAAATTGTGATACTGTATTTCCAGTCCCTGATTGATAAACTCAAACATTGTCGGTGCGTGTGTCAGTGCCACTGTCAGACTTGCAAAATTGGTCTACCTCAACCGTATTCTCCTCCATTCTTTTCTTTCCACCGCTACCACCACCACCACTGTTTGAACCACTTCCACTAGCAGCAGCCATAAAATATGGTTACTCTAATCGGCCGACTGCATGCCGGTTTTTTCAATATTTTGACAGTTTTTCTTTTTCATTGACTTGTCTTGTCTTCAGAAATTTTGTGCCAAGGCTCTTCATTGGATAGAATGTTTGTGGCAGGAAGTCGATGTTTTCTTCCGTTTAATCGAACGAAAAGCTAAAAATCATTTTGATATAACCCTTGGCGAGTTTTTTAAACATAAATAATATGTTCATTTAATGTAATATATTAAAAGCTATATTTTATGGCTTATATTTATGCGGCATAGTTAGGAGCCTATCACCGGCCATGTTGCAATAAAAATTGATGACGTACGACGCATGCGAAAACTGACGCATGTTGTGATCGGAATATTCGCGCGATATTTATGGCAAGGTTGTGAAATAGTTCAAAAACCGACAGTTTTGTCACCATGTCACATCAACTGGGAGTCAACCAGAACCAAGTCTTTAAGCTGGTTTTGACGGGAGGTGAGTTTCATGTACATTGCTATTTGCAATCAAATATAAACAAGGTCATGTTTCCACGTGGTGATGCAAAGAATCGCCGGCCAGTCGCTGGCAGAGCAAATGATTCTTAATTATAAATGGTGAAAGGGTTTATTTTACTGTTCCGAATAATAAAACAAAAAATGTATCTCCATATGATTGAGACAGTGGGTTAAAATGTGTTTTTCTATAGTTAAATGAAATGACACACTGAATAGCCGTAACGAGTGATAAATAATGTTGTCTGTGGTGATGTCTAAAATTAGCCATCCATGCCTTGTTGCAGGCTGGTTTATTTATGAATAAATTATGTTGGAATAATATTACATAAATATAGATGTTACAGAAAATAACGTGATTTGCTGACATTTTTGTGCTTAAAAGAATGAGAATCGTGATTCTAGCAGGCTAACAAACCCATTTCTTATTTAGTAACAATTTAAATTAATTATTAATTTGATGTTATAAATGATTGAGAAAATATATTTAAATTACAGGGTTGTTGTACAAAGTGAATGGGTTTCAAATGACTCCTTCATTAAATCTTTATTATCTACAATGGAATTGAAATTATTTCCCAAGGAATATATCCCATCAGCCAGATGATAATACATTGTTATCTATAATGTGGAATGCTGTATATAAAGTAATTCCTCATATCAGTCTTATGTTATACACATCTTTTATGTATTGTTTGCATAATTCTTACTTGCCCCATCATTTTCTTTGTTTTAATGAACAGGTGCTGACACTATACAGTAGATGTTGCCATTTCATAGTACTTTTGCCTCTCTAACTTTCACTTCATATAATTTAAAACTGTTAAAATTTGTACCTAATAAAAGATGCAAAATTGCATACCACTTTCTGATCTCTCTAAATTAAAATTGGCAGCATAAATACCGAAAGTTTAAGGAGAAGAAAATGTTACAAAAGGGAAAATGCTATGTAATGATCAGGATCAGACATTTTATACCCCGTTCACACTACGCTCAGTTATCCGGATAAGTTGCGAATTAGGTCACAATTCGAATAAATGCAGAAGTGTGAACGCAAGAGGATTTTGAAAATGCGCATTTTCAAAATCCTGCAAGCGAGGTGGATTTCTAAGCGCGATCCGGATAACTTACCGGAATCGACACCTGTACAGATCTTACTGCGCATGTGTGCAGATAAGTGCGGGTATCTATGAACGCTGGTTTATTACTTTAGCGATTGCACCAAACGTATTTGGCGGTCACCACTCACTACAACATGAGGAAACAAACTAATTTTGCCACCTTATACTTCTCAAGAATGCTGGAATGTCTTTTGAGTTGCATTTGTCGTCACAAATTTTTGTTGATATTTTAAGATTTCCTGTGCGGCGCATGCGCGAGTGTTCAAAACAGGAAGTTTTACCTGAAATTTTCAACGTGGGATTCGGATTCGCTTAGCGAGTGTGAACGCAATACCGAATCGGATTCCTTACGAAAAATCCGAATTATAGAAATGCGCATTTTGGCAACTGTAGTGTGAACGGGGTATTATTCTAATTAATCACAAATCCAATCAAAGGAATTTACGTTAATAATGAGGTTGTACTTAAATTTCACACTCCCTGTTATGCAATGGTTTACCAATTGCAGTTTTCAATTAGCCGTTTGAATAGTTTTAATTCATGACCAGTTTTCAGCTTAGAAAAAAGGATGGAAAATGCCTCGTCTGGTTCAAGTGGCTTGTGGCTCATGTTTTTTTTCTCCTATCCATGGAGACAGAGCTAGAGAATGATTTAATAGGTAACCCAATAGGGCTGATGTGCAGGCAGGCAGTTAACTAGGCATTCTATAGAAATTCAACACCCAGGCTAATGGTATCATATGGCATTGATGAGGGGGTCATTTATTTATCCAGGCTTTCAGGAACATTATTTATTCTGATGGTGACAGAGACACATGTAAATCAAATAGTTCTATTAGATAATGGGTTAAATTTAGGTTAGTGGTCAGCACTCTCTGTCCTAATAGCATCCTGCACAGACCCTAGTGGTACCTGTGTACCCAGCAAACGCAGAGTTATTCTAACATTACCACAACGTTTATATAATCAAGAAATGTTGGTAACATATTATGGTGTGGTAACATATTATGGTGTGGTTACAATACGTTAATGTGTTTGCTGGGCAGGTCCATTAAAACAGTATATTTCCAGAGTGTCAGCTGTGCTTAGATGTCACAATTTTTGCTTAACCAAAACAAAGTTGTACAACTCTTTGACCAAAATAAATACACAAATATTTTTAGTGAAAAGAAACAAGGAACATGGATTCAATGCCTCATTTGTCTCAAAGTTTTTTTGCTGCTGTTTTGTGTACATTCTATATTGAGATATATTTTTAAAGCTCAATTTCGCTCAGAGCTCTGAGATTTAAAAACATAGTTTACAATAATGGCTGCAAAAGTCATATGTCCACAAACAAAGCATCACTAGCCTTACTATCTACAACTGTGTCGGAAGTCCTTACTGTGCTGATTTCCCTGATAATCTCAGTGTAATTTAACCGTGATAATCTGGTAAGTCACCTGTAGATTCCATTACTTAGATTTGTATTTACCTGTAGACCATGTGCTTACTGTTAAATTCATGGTTGTGAAGATAGAAAAATCTCTCATAAATTATCTTGACATTTATGACAAGGCATGCCCTGGTTGGGGTTAGAGAGCTTGGGGAGGCCCTGGTTGGGGTTAGAGAGCTTGGGGAGGCCCTGGTTGGGGTTAGAGAGCTTGGGGAGGCCCTGGGAAAGTCTATACTATGAGCAGAAAAAACTGTGTCCATGGGCTATGGTGTTCTAAAGTCTATAAGATAAGCTTTGAAAGAAAAAAGATATAAAATAAGAATAAACTGCCATGGTATAGCTATAATATTGACGTAAGGCATTATTTGGGTATTTGAGAACAGCAGGGTTTTTTTTATTTCATTAGAAAATATCCAAGGAAATCTGATAATATATTTAAGTATAATTACTAATTTTTTAAAACTCAGTAATAGATACTCTGGCAGGCTTAATTCAAGTTACCCACGTGTGTGACTGTCACATTATTTTGCAACATATCTGAGATGTTTTTGCAGCAGAGTGATGCCATTAGTTTGCTATGGGCAGTTTATTTTGAAAATGTTTGACAAGTTTTAGATGATTATCCAGAGAGAGTTTGTTTATTTTCAACCTGGTCCATCTTCAGGTGGAATAGTTTTAGTTCACTTTCACTAAATTCCGGTCTTTGGATTTATCTTGGTTGGACGGAGCTCAGGTGATAATGAGGATCCCAAGCATAGTTTATTATGGCATATCATGAACCATCCCACCACCTGTGCTTAGTGGAAGACTTCCGCACAATGTTTTTGTACCATTTTCAGGTGTTCCCAAGTTATTTCTATTTCTAGAGAAGTGTAGAGGATGTGGGTGGTATGTACACCAAGTACCCATTCTTGCAGACACTCACAAGTCTATATATTGCTGTGTTAGCTTCTGGCTTGAATTTTCTTAGAGTTTTTTACTTCTTTTAAACTAAACCCAACATTTTGTTCATTGAGTCTCACCTACATATTTTTATGTTAGCTCCTGGGTTCTGATGTCTCAGATTTTTTTCTTTTAAACCAAACCAACATTTTATTCTAAAAGTGTGCAGCAATATGGCAAATGTTTGATATGTTAGTGAATACTTTTCTTTACACATGTTTATGCCAAAGTTACTTACTTTGTGCACCTGAAAATAATCAATGTAAATTTGGTCAGCCACCTTTCCTGGGGCAGTTTTACTGGAGCGTTCATTTATATCTAGATGATCTGACTTTGCCAAGGGATGGAAGAATCTCCAATCTGGAAACCAAGCATTTTAGCCAAATCAGACTAAATTTTAGATGGTAATTATTTAGCACAAGCTAAAATTTTTCTTCCTGCTGTTGGCTTGCAGCCAATATGGTCATAGGCCTTCATCAGATGATCCAACCACCAAGCTAATGAACAATTTTGCTCTGATCGAATTGATCCCAAAATGAATGCTCATTCTTGTTGGTGAGAATGATGCTCCATTGGAGTGCCATTATGCACAAGATATGATATACTGGTATGTCTGCAAAAGTGACTTTGATATAATATATAATATTTAGAATTTAACCAAGTGCCTACTTTTTAAATCTTACATGAGAATGATATTGTGAGGGATCCTTTTTTTTTTTTTTTGCAAAATACCAGCTTACCCACATTAATATACCTCTTGAATTTGATGAATAAAAACGAGATGATTTGATCTCACATATCAATTTAAAAGGGATAAATAATAGCCCAATAGAAAAAAATTCAATGCCTGATATCAAGTTGACGTTCGTGTGGTTACAAACAGAGCTGATGTAGACTGATTTCCTTATTACATCTATTGATCTTGTTAGATAAAAGAATATAGCAGCATGGTTGTCATGCAGATAGCTGATTCACAGCAAGGAATTACAGCTCAATTTTCAGATGAAGCCATTTATATCCCTAGATTTCCCTGCAAATTCTTTCACATATAATAGTAAGATAGATCTTAGTCTTGATAACATTCAGGAGGGCCAGTTTCTGGAAGCATATTATTGATCCGTGTGAGGAATCTGTGCATGTTGTTAGTGATATAAATGTTCTAGTGGGAGGTGTAGAGAGAGACGTGGTATTGGATACATACATACATACATACATACATATATATATATATATATATATATATATATATATATATATATATATATATATATATATATATATATATATTAATAATATCATCCAATTGTCACCCCCCTCCCCTGCATCACTTTATTCTTTGTTATATTGAACTGTTAAGTTAAACTGGTCAGACCTTTTTTTTTTTTTTTTTTATTTTTTTGTCTGATATAATTTTAAAGTGGAAATTTGTTTTTTTTTTTTTATTATCTGTTTTCCACCTTAATAGGCCCCAGGCCTTTCTTTTTTCTTTAACCAAAAATCATGTCTGACTGGTGCTGAAAACAGGATACTAGTAAATATTGTAATTTGATAAAAATAGAATAGAAAAACTAGTTATCCATGTTTTAAATTTTCAGGACCATGTGGAGGCAAGACCACTGGGCAGTCAAGACTCTGCTCCTTCTTTGAGACTATAGGCTGGAAGGTGAGATCTGCATTTGTGTGTATGTGTGTTTGCCTACGTGTCTTCGTGCATGTTTTTTTCTCCCTCTGTCCAAATTTGTGTACTAGTATGTATTTTAATATTTGGAATAAGAGGAAATTATCNATCATTGACCTATTTTCCTATATTCAGAATCCTCATGTGATTTATATTGTAAACACTTATATATAAGTAAATGTGTGAATCTCAAAATCAAGAAAGACGCGATGTTTCACGCTCAGATCTACTGACGACTTCAAAGTGCGGCCCGACCACAGGACGGTCTCCAAATTAATTTTACCCGTCCTCCATGAAATTAGACCGTCAAGGACGTTGGGACGGGCGGTTATTTCCAACTCTGTATATAAATATTATTTATTGCCAGACACAGTCCTCAAATTCTTCTGCCCTGAGTTGGAATGTTTATATAATTTTGAGATTCCCAGATGAGTCCAGGGTGTAAGAGTGGGAGAGTGGGGCTAACAGGTGCTCCACTTGCTTTAGGAATCTAAATATTGAGTCTAAGACCCCATTCCCAGAGATTAGATTGATCCAAACTAGATCGACATAACTCCCTGGGGGTTCACGCTAAATAGCTGTCAGCTGAGCGGACACGAAAGTTAATTACCCCCTTATAGCTTGTAGTAGGCGGGACAGACATTTAAGCTGGATTATCTGACAGTAATCTAGTGAGACTCCCCACGGGGATAGATCAATCTAAAATCTATGGGAATGCACCCTAATGACCAAGAATTTTGTAGTAGTACTTGAAGTTACTGCCACAACAGTTTTAGTTGGTTTGAGCACTTTCTGATGTCAGAACTCCCCTCAGTAATATTGGAGTGTTGAGCTCCAGAACCAGTCTGACTCCTAGAGATATTGCAGTGTAGGATATGTTGTCTGATGGGGAAGTTAGGTGTGGTTACTAGTACATGTGGTCTGTAAAAGTCTTCATTAAAATTAAAAGTAATTGGTGTCCTAGACTTTAAAGAACAAGCACTGTTTGAAAAATGTGTTTTGTAAGTGTTGCAATTAAGTATTTGTAGCCCTCCACACATTATTTAAAATTATCTATTAACAATTTGCCCCCCTCCAAATAAATAAATAAATAAATAAAATAAAAAGAATTGTTGCTTTCAAGTTTCCAGTTTAAAGTATACTTTCTATGTATCCTGCCCCAAGGCATCCCCTAGCCATACCCCGATTTGTAGGTGTTTTTTTGGGTGTTGTATTAAGTATGGGACTGTTTCAAGTTCAGTGAAATTAGAACGTGCAAACTGTTTAATATAGTATAAAATGAAAGTAGTATATGTAAGAGGAAGGGGGGGGGAGGGGGTAAAAAAAGATAATCCTTTTTCCCTGACACCAGAAAAGAAAATAAATAGACAGCATATAATATTTTACTTATTACTTTATTAGGTGTTCCGTGTGCCAGAGTGTGCTACTGTGTTGATGAGGTAAGTTAACAATAAACACTAAGGTAGGTCTGCCCATCCTCCGTAGAAACACCTGCTGAGACCTGGGAGCTATGGTGGTCCTAAAGCATGCAGAAACACAGTGGCAGGGGCTAAGTTTACCTACTCACATGCTTGCTGAAGAAATGGGTAATTTCCTAGACAGTGATTTGGATGATGTATGTATTAGTAAATTTCCACCCAAAAGCTATCTATTCGCATTCATGCACATTTTCCAGATAATGATTTGGATTGTGAGGCTGAAGATCAGTAATCTATTGAATAAATGATGCAAGTTAACTTCTACCCACCAAGAATTTTTACATGAAAATTACGCCTGTTTTCCTAAAGCTGTAGTTGCTCAGGTGAAGAGAAGTCTCTAGCTTAATTGAAATGATGTACTTAAATATTTAAATATAGAAAGATGTCAGTCTTGGTCTGTATTCCCAGCTACCACCATAACTTATACATTACCTTCAGTGGTAATAGTAATGTTTTCTGTCAGACCTCCATAATACAATACAATACAATAAAATACAATACAATGTCCTAGTTTATATGCATATGTTGTTAGATTTTTATATTAAATTAATGAGCGTAATAATTGTATTATATACCCGTACTTTGTGTAGTGAGTATGACATAAAATGATGGTTATTATATACTGACTGCTCCAGACACCATTCAGTGATAAGTAGTAATATGTATTATAGAAGGAAATGGAAATTAAGGAGAAAAGAGCTGAACATTGGGCAGAATTACTCACTCACAGACATGCATAGATTGAAATGAACCGTTTTCATAACTTGATTAAGGTGTACTGAATTTAATTTTTGTTATTTTCTGTTTCAGCGGCGGTGTAAAATGGATGGAGATGAATGACAATGACAGTAAGAATACCTTTGTAGATTTTGAGCTTTTCTACAATACATCAGGCTTATGCAGTGGCACACCTTACGGCTGCACCAGGTTAAGTTCAGTCAGGTCGTCCACATTCAAGTTTTGTTTGGATGGCCTGTCATTGTTTATTTACCTGCATTTGTAGGTGGAACTTCATTTAAATCATCTGAATAACCAGCTGTTTTTGCTTTGGCAAGTAGATTGCAAGAAAGCTGCTGCCTCCATTTGCATTTTATTAAGATAAAGCACCTTGCTGGTAATTAGGAATGATATCATTATAGTGAGCAGTCTCAGGTGGTGCTGCTGTATGAGTATGTATGTATGGATTCATCTATATTATATATTTACCTGTGCTGTGGCAGGTAGGCAATATATAGCTACTGTTTCTGCTTTACTGTTTGTGTGCTCTACCTAAGGTGGAAAACTATAGAGCCCTGTGTTACCTGGTTTTGATTCTGAACAGTGGAGTATGTTTTCCATTTTCCCAGAGCATTATGAGCATTATTTTATTATTTTTATAAGCATAAATCCCCCTTTCTGTTCCATATTTGTAATTGATGTTAATCTTGTTGCTCAATAATATACATTTATTATTTTACAAAAAGCAGCAAAGCATGCCGCATTGATGCCTGCCACTGGCATTTCTTTCAGTCATATTTTCACATTTATCATGTTTGCCCGGAAAGTTATGTTATCTGAAGGACAAAAGTTGATATTGACCTTATCCAAGGTCACCCTGGTTCAGCTCAGCCTGGAGCCAATCCCCAAAATCTGTCAAGTATGTCTGCAGAAAAGGGGGATTTGTAGCTTCTATGAGAACCTAAATTAAATGAAAGTTTGCATACCTTAGAAGAATTTAAAACCCTCAGATAAACCAGGCTTTGGTTGTCCACTATAGTCTGAATTGTTTTTAATGAAAACAAATATTTTATGAATGAAATATGGGATATCCCAGTAGTGATTGATATGTTATATTTTTCTACTTTTTAGTTTATTCAAAAATAGTAATAGCATTTTAACATTAGTACATATTCTCCTTTAACTTGAAATTCAAAATAAGCTTCAAGTATTATTTTTTTTCTTGCTTTCATTGTTGCAGCTGTGACTTTATGTGATGGTTAGTCTACAAAGTCTATACTATGGCTTGGAGCTTTGAGCTTTCCCTGTTAGTCTCTCACTTTTAATATTAAATCTGTATTCTTTAACTTCATTTAGTCCATTTCAGCAAATTTCAGACAAAATTGAGCCATAGAAGTACAACATCGCAGAAAATCTTTTTCATTTTAATTCAGTTTTTCTATTACAAACTTTAAGGCATTGGTATCAACACTTATTTCACTCTGTGCACATATCAGATTGGTGAATCTTTGCCCTTTATTCCTGCTGTTAACCCACCTCCACTCAATGTTTCCAGAAACCAGTTAACCAGTTAATTACATCCATTTGCTTGTCAGATTTTATTTTGATGTAAAAGCATGTAACTGTCGGTACTGTTTTGTGAATATGTCCCACTTATTATACATATACTTGTGAGTTTGTTTTGTCAATAATCATAAATCAAATTTCCATGTGGGGATATTGTTAGTAAGTAATTGAAATACATTTATTTGGTATTGAATATTTGGAATTCATTGTTATCTGCATTGGATCTATTGATTGGTTTCTATATTCATGCTGGGTCTTTCTTATCTGAAGCTTCCTTCTGTGTATTGTGGTTGCAATGGCTAGATTGTATGTTATCAGAAAATTGGTTATCAAGTTGAAAGGAGATCTGCAAGTACCTAAAAATGTAGCATTTATATGTATATGGTATTATAAATAGCCCAGGCCTTACTTGTACTCAGATGCTTGTACTATTATGTCAGCTGTCTTTAAAATCTGTTTTCAAAATGGATCAGAATTTCTTGGTCCAAAGAAATGTACCTGTAGTTGATGTGTACCTGCCACATAAATGATTGATGAATTCTATAAATATGACTTATCAGAGTGATTACATCTATGCCAGGGACCTGTCTCCCTAAATATTATCCTATTATCCAGTAAGACAGTGTACTGCCCACTTCTACTTGGTCTCTGACATGCAATGCCAGGGAGTGAAGCCGTCAACATGACTTCTGCAACTTGATTTTAAGATGAATTATTTAATGTTGTTATTTTGTTCATTGATAAATCAGTTTATTGATAGTTTTATTTATTATGCGTTTATTTATTTATTTTTGCAAAAATATATTCTTGAATTTTTTATTTCCCCTATGGACCAGGTGCTTGGTGTCTTATACAGTGCATGTTCTATTCTCTTTTTGTGTAGTTTTCCTTATAATATATTAAATTCAATTGTAAATGAATTTTTATCCACACACAGGATATATAACACAGTTCACCATTATTTAACCTAAAACATAGTATTAATGAAAAAATGAACATCTTTTGGTATAATAGTATCCTGTTCTCATGTTCTGTTTTGTTTCTTTCTTTAAATTTCATCCCTACCCTGGACTAAATCAGCTGCAGGTAATTTCACAAACACATATTTCACGTTATCATACTGTCAGGTTTGGGAGATGGGAAAGTTCATTTTGTAAACTGAAGTTTTTTTGAAACTGTTTTAATTTTGGAAATAGGTGGGATTGCTGAATGATACTGTGGATACTGTAATTTCAAGAAATAGAACATATTTTTACAAAAGTATTTAAAGTTCCTGGAAAAATATTCATCTATGCATCCCATTGATAGTGTTGAAAAAATTGAGATGATGGCCAAAAGAAATATTTTGTCCTTTTTGAATTTCCTTGGAACAAAAAACCAATGGATTGAAAAAATTTCAGTTTACTTATTGACAGGGGCTTGGTGTTAGTACTCTGGGTATCTTCTGCATGGGTAGTTTAGACCTTTTTCTATTTCCCCGTTTTCCTACTCAATGTGTTCTGTTTGCTGGTGTTAATATTGTTATGTAATCCATTGTGTGCTATGAGGAAGCATGAGGGGAGAAGAAAGGCAAGCAAACTGGAACAGGTAAGAAGTGTCTTTTAACTTTTACATACTCAGTGACCCTAGTTTGTGTCGTATAACATTACAAAGCTAACTGCTGCCAAGCTATTTGCTGCATGTGTGTCATTTTGCTGTGCTCTGTCACTGTGCTTATAGTAATTGGACATTAGTAGTGTAGGATGCATATGATGCTACTGCAACAACCACAGTATGTAGTTCCAGAAATATGAATTATTCAAATGTTACAATAGTAGGATTTAAGTTTTTTAGGGATGTATCTTTACATTACATTTATTAAGTACTGCAAATAAGATGTGGATGTATCTATCTGTAAATAATGCAATACATATTATGTATAAAATGTTACTGGTTTTAATACTACTGATTAACAAAACGTAGGGGTGGATTACATTTCTAATCAGTTTGAACTATTTTATTGATCATCTCATTTATCATCCCTACTTAAACTGGTATCGGAAAAAAGAGAAACCAATTAATGAAAAAAGGATCCTGTTGACTTACAAAAATTGAAGATGTCAGAATTGTTTGACCTAATCATTTTTTTTTTTCAAACATCAGATTTGTAAGGAAATCTACACTGCAGTTTTATTTTTTTTTTTTTTAGAAAAAAAGTGAATTTTGTTTTAAAGTATTTGCTAAAGTAGACACATCCTTGTATTGTTAAAGTTTTAATATATTTGATTCCAGTTTTCCAGTTTCAAGAGAATCTTATCAAGTGTATGATGCAGATAGAGAAGACGTACTGCGAGTTGGCACAGATGAGCACCAAGAACTGCCTTATTATCTGCGACAGAGGCATCATGGACGCTACAGCTTGTAAGTATCAAACATGGTGGCAATTTAAGTTCTTTGGACATTGAGCAGTATACATTAACAATACAGTTTGTACCTGTTCACTTTTAGAGATCGACAGCTTCAAAACCTGCAGGGTAATACATATAGGAACTAAAATTATTATAATCCTCTGCACAGCCAAAGAATTCACTTCACAAAACAGCAGAAAGCAAACTTATTGAGATCTTGTGACGGGTAGTAAATTTTCCTGTTTATGTTACATTAGGGCATAATCGCCCTTTTTTTCTTCACTTTGTGAGTTACTGTTAACCAGAGAGTGTCTCTCCCTGTCCACCCCAGTGAGTGCTCAGCACTGGAAGCAGATAGTTTTCTATTGTCACTGATGTTTGTCCAAGTACTGTCAGTAGATCTCCATTAGGAAAAACAGTCTCAAGTTGCTGATCAAAAAGTTAAAGGGTCAGATTTAAGAAATGAAAAATTGATTGGTGCACATGTGACTCTTCAGAAACATTAGTTTTTCTGGGCTGTACCTGTAGACTGATCAAAGCTTTCATGTTGTCGTCTGCTCTCTTCATCAGACATGAAGCCAGAACAGTGGGAAGAGATGAAGATGAAAAATGGCTGGAATGAGATAGAGCTGAGAGATAACAGGTATTTGTGGGTTTTCTTTTTCTTTTAATGCCCCTTTGTGCTTGGCATTTTTTTCTTTAAGATAATCTGTGTTCAGACAAGAAAAGCAGAATGCAAAAAATATGAAATGCTGTAAAGATTACAATATTCTCAGAAAATATTGAATTGTACTGGGTCTGGTTTAAATGTTTTGTCTAATTTCAAGAATTTCTTAATTTTATTATATAGGACTAAAACTTGACTACTATTTTGATTTACACTTGCTGCACACCAGCAGAACAATGTGGAGAGTGACGTTTCCGGGTGTTATTTCAGGTATAACCAGGTGATCCACATGGTCACTGCAGCCAAGGGTGCCGAGAAGTTTTATTCCACGGAGCACGCCGTGCGATATGAATCGCCAGATGTAGCACGAAATCTTGATGATATGGCCTCCCAGGTTGGTAAAGATGAAAGATACATCAACTCCTGAACACATGGGACTAATTATAAGACAACAGGTGTATGCTCATCCTTGTGGTCGAGGAAATTGAAAGGAAAATATGGGTGGGGGGACAGAAAAAAACGGATTTCTTCAGTCCTGCTTGTTAATCAACTTTTGTCTCATCAAAATAAGTCTAAATGCTTTCTAACTAAGCTGGAATTTTTCGAATTGACAGCTGTAATTTTAGTTTTTTTCTCATTGAAAGATTGAATCATATTCATCATTGGTTTATTTATCTGACTATTGTATTACCATAATTCAGTTAAGAGAAGAAAAAAAAAAAAATTATGTTTAATTACCTGTATATATTTTCTTTTGTAGGCTTGGGTTGGACACCCATATTATGATGTTATTGACAACTCCACTGATTTTGAAGCCAAACTTATACGCATGATATCAGTGAGTTTTTTTATTACCTCTGTCATCTTTTCTGTGTATCTGTGTGTCTGATTTAGCTTTGAATTCTTCTTGTCAGGTTGCATTAATCTGACAACACTGCCTGGCAAATCAGGTTTGCCTAATTGGCAATTATTGAACTCTTCATAGATACATCACTTGACTTCAAACTCCACAGTTGATAAGGCTTTATAAATTCTTAATGAGGTGTTCAACCACTGTTTCAAATTTTCATATCTTTTTCAGACAGTAACAGATCGTCTGGGTATGGACTTCAGGGAAAGGCTCAACGTGAACAGTAAGAAGAGGAAGTTCTTGGTGAGAGAGCTTCCAAGTCTGGAGGTATGGGAACTACTGACAGAGAGAACAGCTCTGGCCTGGTGTGGTTTGGCATCCTACTTTTTAAAAAATAACTTAATTGCAAGCAGAGTGTTGCTGATTTTGCACCTTTGAATTATGCTAGATTCTAATCATATTATAAAGCTCCGTTGATGTGTGAGAAACCCTTTTTTTTCACATTGGAGATTTTTTGCCACATCTGTTTTATTAACATTTTTCAAAGCAGCATACTATTGAGTGGGTATGGTTTGTTTTCCAAGTTTAAACTAGTTCAGATGTTTCTAATAGTGATCATTTCTTTTTATAAAATATGTACTAGTTATTACACTACATTTACTGATCCCAAGTTTGTTACACGTAACTAAGATGTTTTCTGAGTTGTAAGTTTCCCTACTTCAGACTAAAAATAACTAGTTTGGAATGACACAATAGATGTACCATTAAAATTTTTAATTTTTTTGCTAAGAACAGATAAAGTAGTTTTCAGATCTTTCTCACACTGATCTCAATCACTTAAATTCTAACTGCCTGCTATAACACAGGGATTTTCAACTTCAAGGCTGGTTTTTATATAAAAAAATTATTTCATTTTCTGACACTGCATTCACTTAATTATTTTGGCAACCTGTAACACGATTGCGGGGCATGTTGTTTGCAGTGCTTGCGTGTGATTAGTGTCTGCTCTTGCCCAATGTGTGACTTTTCCTATTTCATCTAGGCGATAGACATGGCTGCCAGTGCAGAGACTAAGGTAAGTAGTGGCCCTGTTGAGTTTGCAATGTTGTTCTTCTCAGCAGTAAGCAGTGATCCAGATGGAGAGGAGAGGACCAGAATCAGGCGGCCATTTTCTCCCCCTGTCTTCTTATCTGTGAACCTGCATTCCGGTGTTTGTTCCTTTTGTTTGACAATTTTTTTGTGACGTCACACTGGGCTCATTCTATCATGACTTTTCTTGAACCACAATCTTTCTTTCTTTTTTTTTTTTTTTTTCAAATGGATAAAAAGAAATGTAGTTTATTAATTTGGTAATAGGCAGTTGCAAAATATTTACATAATGGTATGGGCCCAGTAGTGAGCACAAGACTTCAGCTTGTCTTATAAGTTTCCTTGATTACAATCACCTGGACACTTCACAAGACTTGCGTTTTTTCCTCGTTTACTGGTGAGTTTTGTAGTATCGTCACATTCTTGCTGTCCATGAGTGTTTACCAACTTACTTCACTCTTAAAACATTTCTAATTGCACATTAGTATCTTAAGGCACTGTCAAACCTGGCGTATGGCAATAACGTAAGATTGCCCATAAGCAGACAAACGTAAGAGGTTCATTAGACTTACGTCATATACATATCGAATACACAGGCAAACTCTGGTGTACATTTTTATACCAGGAGGGCGCTAAAATGTTTTGAACATGCCCAAAGTCAATTTCATCAGGGATGAGATTTTTCCAACTATTTAAAACTTTTTTTTGGATTCAATAACATCATTGGTGGCACCTTGGACACCGCGCCACATTTTCTGACTTAGTCACTAAATGGCGTCTCATCTGCTTCATGAATCCCTACTTCATACACCAGGTAAATTAATATGCTCATATGCAACTCATATGTACCTCATTACGCCAGGTATGACAGAGCCTTTAACCTGCACTGACTGATTGCTGTGGAGAGTGGCACCCTGGGTCGTGGGGGGGGGGGGGTTTGAAAATTA